ATACTAGATTATATATATGTGTTAGAATATATATATATATATATATATATATATATATATATATATATGTTAGATTATACTTATTCTCTTATTTCTCAATGTAATTTCATAACCAAATCCTACCTTTTGGATTGCTCCAAACATGGAGATCTATGAATATGGATGTTGTCAATATTTTTCTACCTCTGAATTAGCTGGATAAATAGCACAATAATATCTGGATGGCCAAATCAACGTATATGAAGATTTAGTCCAGAATTAACATAATACTCTGCATTTTAAGGCATTTTAAAATTAGCAATTTAACCAGATGTCCCCAGAGTCGGTGGCCTTGTCAACGCCACTAGTTTGGTTACACAGTTAATTCCATCAGAGCCATTGAACCAAGTGTTGGTGTGTGTGAAGAGAGTCCATGAGTCAATTGCCAGCACAGAATTCTTCCTGACATAGAAAGGCAGATGATCTCAACTTTTGAGTGCATACAGTGCAGATTTCTAGTTGAATGGTTCTTGACAATAGTGTCCTCAGAAACATAATGCCTGGCCAGGAGCCAGTGATTATGCCACCATACAAATCACTGTGCATCTGACGCCAGAACTCCTCTTTGCAATGGTAACAAGAGTTTTCAGTCCTGGTGTTCCACAAGATGTTGCATTGGCTCTTTTATTTTTCATCAGACCCTGGAATTAAAGATTTTATTCAGATTGTTTTCAGGAAATAAATGTTTCTAGATGAAGAGAAAAAGAGAAGACAGGAGGTTTTAGTATAATTTAAGAAACAGCTTTGCTATTTTATATGTCCCATCAGGACAAAATCAGCCTATGATTTGAAATCTAGTTTTATTAATTGTTTAATAGATTTTTCACTTTAAATTTCTTGTATAATTATAGAACTAAAACAGCTTGTTTCAAACTGTTAGCTAATGATCCATATATTATTTTAGTAATTGCTAGCTTCTATCAGAAAATGCATTAATTTTCTGAAAATGCATATAGACTTTCAAATGTTGAAAACACTAGGAGATCTTTTTAAAATCAATAAATTGCAACACCTAAAATTTGCTTCAAATATTATCTTACTGGAACATATTATAAACCTAAAATTAGTAGTCTATTCCAGAGATACTATGAATCTCCATATAAATTTGCATATAACTGTCTTTTTAAGGACTTAAAGTAGATAGATGATGTTGTATAATTGCAATTGATGATATAAATGAAATTTAAGTTATGCAGAGTATTCCTATTCAAAACCAGAAATGATGCACCAGTTAAAATATTCACCCAAATTTCTTCTCTTATTATGAAATTGCCTACAGGTTTTAAATGCCACCTTCTTCTGGAACTAGCTCAGGATTTAACATTAAATATATAGGTCTAAGTATCTTACTTTACTGAAATAGTAATTGTTCAAGATGAAGGAAAGAGAGACACTACATATTACTTGTAACAAGCATTATGTGGCAAAACTAAAAACAATATTTTTCCTAATAAAGTCAAAATTGCCAGCATTTTCATTTTGGTTGGTTTTCAGTAAGCAAAACATTTTCTTATTAGCTAGATAAAAGCATTAGCCAATTGTAAAAACTATAAAAGTCTCTTTTAAATATAGGTAGTAATTCATAAAAGGAAAGAAGATCATTTAAAAGGTTTCTTGTGGTTTGAAAATGCCTTCCAAATATTCATTAAACATTTAAGTGAGTAAATTTGTAGAATATGTTTCTGACATTGGCACTGGTTCTGTGGTATTTCTCTGATCAGATGGAAGTGCTATGTGTTATGCAGAGTGCATGCAGTTCATTCATGCATAAACAATATCATTTTCATAAATTAAAACCTCCCCTGCAGAAGGAACATCTGTGCCTGCCTTTGAATAAAAGATGGTGGCATGTGAGTTACTTCTTGACTGACTGAAAGAATCCCCATGTTTTAGAATGAAATTGTGCAGGCAATATAGGGGGAAAAACCACTTAAAACTAACTTTCAGTCATCATTTCTACCAAGAAAGAAAAGAAAGAAAGAAAGAAAGAAAGAAAGAAAGAAAGAAAGAAAGAAAGAAAGAAAGAAAGAAAGAAAGAAAGAAAGAAAATAATTCAGGGTCTAGATTTCTCCACTTGCTGTTTTAGAAGCTGGAATTTTTGAAATGTCATTCTCTCATTATTTCTTCTGTTCACTACACCAACAATTTTTAACTTGCAGGAATACATCTACTTTTAATTACAGGTGAAATTGAGCTGCTTAATAGATCAGATCAAATCTGAATGTTCACTTTGTGATCTATGCTGGAAGACTGGCATTGTTTAAATATCAGTGTTATGTCTCTTAAGTAAGATTAGTGAGAACAATCCGGGATAGTGGAAGCAACAGCTTGATTCCAAAATAACAACTCTGATTCACTTGGAATGAGATTGCTGCATTTGGGATAAAGTTGGGACTAACTTAAATGTATTTCTGTCATGTGATGAAGGCTGATGGAAAACATGTTAAAATGATATATTTTAAATTGCACTCAAACATTTTTTTAATGTTGAAATGTTCCTTACTGCTACTGTCACAGCTTGATGCAGCCCCATTGGCAATGTTATTAGTATGGCTAATTGTTCCTGTCCATTAGATTACTCACATTTTTCTGGAGCAGCTTGCTAAATGAGGTCAGCTTTCTGGAACCCTTAAATCACCAATGAGAAGAAGATTAAAGGAACAAGCTTGGGAAGGGAGGTAGTCATCCAATGTGGCATCCAAATCCGAGGAGGAACAATGGAGTTACTAATGACAGTAATCAGAGCACCGTGGTAGAGCCAGACCACAATTGCCAAAATGTTATTCCCTAGGAATCATGACTGTCAGTCATTTCTCAAAGAGGAAATGCCAAACTATTTTTTAAGTGGACTTAACAATGAACAAAATTATCTGTAAGTTTTTCCAGTGAGTTGTGTTTATAAAACAAGAGCATAGTGCCCCATTGGGGGATGGGAAACAATTACACCTTCCTAAAACATAGTACAAAAAATGTCTTCTTAAATACATATAAATCATTGACCCTTTTTCTTGAGAAATTATTGAAATATTGCAAGATGTTTATACAACAATTATAAAATTCTATTTCTTCTTAGAGTCTTTCAATTAATTGAACAATTTCCCCCTGGTATTTTCTAAGGTGTAACTTTCTGTTTGGGACAGTATCTTTTGCAAAACATATCCTGAGCTGATCAGTTCAGGATAATGTACAGGTAACAGAGCACTAATAAAATAGTTAAGATTTTAATATTTTAAGTGTGTAGACAAACTAACTTTGGGCACTTATTTATGTATTGCTTGTTAATAATTAACTAATTCACCTTTTAAAAAGAGAAGGAAAGAGTAACACAATCATTTAAAAGAATAAGAACCAACCCTACCAAAGGTGAAGGTGCTTAAACAAAGAAAAGCAAAAATACATTGTTCATCCCCCTCATCCTGCAACCCTATAATCCAAATCATGAAACATTAGTTAGGTCTTTTCATTACCTACAAAGAACTGGTGACTCTTTAATGGGGATAAAAAGACTAGAAAATATACCAAAGTATTTTTTCTTTTTACTTTATTCTACAAATAATGTTTATTATTTTTTTAATTCAGCAAATAAAACAATTATTTCCCCTAAGAATAATTTTATACTGTAAAAATTACTTTAGGAAGAAATATAACAATTGGTCTGATTTTCAATTCTATTTTATTGCAACTGGATGAGTGTTTTCTAAATTGTGCATTACACCATAATATACAGGATTACAAACAAGATTACAGTACAGATCAATTCCAGTGGTATCAGCATCACATCTCAAACAGCACTTATTCTGAACTGCATTTTACATGCAATAGCTATTGTTCTAATTATGAATTAAATGGTTTGAATTTTATTTAAGCTACTGTACTAATTGACTACAATAGGTATAAATCCCAACATTAACAACCTGAATAGATTTAGGCTCAGATTTATTACATGAATATATGACAAATCACCATTTGTGTGACAATGTATAAAATCATGCATTTATATTTTCTGGAAACATCAATAGCTTCAGATGCTCTGTAAAATCATGGAATGCAAAGGAGTAAAAGACTAAAAAGAAACAGTGCAAATTGTATGTGATAGTCAAGCAGCTTTTGATTTAAAGAAGTGTATGTTGGCATTTATTCATAATATGTATATACAAGCTTGTGCAAGTAATTGTTGAATTGATATGTTTTGATAAGGAATGCATCTCTTGTTTTTTTCCATCCTCTTGAAAATTATGGATCTGGGATTTATTTTAGGGAAAGGGAAAAACTTTAAAGTGAAATGAATTGCTCAAATTGTGCAATTTTTTGTTTGTTTTTACAATTAGAGAAGAAAGAAGTGCTAAGGCAACACAATAACTTTCTAAGCACTTTCCTGCTGGTTTAAATTAGTTAAATTATTTTGTATAAATTAGATATAATTCTACTTTTCTGATATGTATAAAAATTGATGAAGCTGCATGGTTTTAAAATAGGAAATCCACATTATAAAAAGTCATTAAAAATTCTGTACAAAATCACAACAAAATAATTCAGCATGGGAAAGGTAACAAGTAGTAAAATGCTGGTTGAAAAATATATATTTATATATATTTTAATTGGCCCATTACTAGTTTAAAAATTGCATAGATCCTAATTATTGCTTGTGATTTTGTTATCCCGATCAGATAATTAATACGATCTGAATACAGCTACACCAAATTCTAGGTGCATTTTTTAACTTTACTGTATTATTATTATTTTTTAAAATAGAAGAGCTATAGAAAATAATACATAAGGTGAACAGGAACTTTGATCCCCTGTTTCTTCCAAAGGCAGTAACAATAAATACATATATCACTTGAAGCTTGGAGTATTTGCACTTTGCAGCAGTAGTACCAAAAGGGCTGCCTTTTGTAAACACGACAGTCACTGTAAGCACAGTGGGTTCGTTTCCCGGGAATGGTGAAACTGACGTGTCTCTAATCGTGAAAGATGGCATTGAGCTGGGCACTCATGACTCGCTCATGATGTGAATGGCTATCGAAAGACATAATATTGTCTATGGGGATCTCGCAGCGAGGGGCAGCAGCTCCCGAGAAGATTGATCCGTGGCTTTGGGCCCCTGCCAGGGTCGCTGCAGGATAGTGCATGGTAAAGGCATAATTTTTTTCAAACTCGGCGGATGGTTCGTGTTTGAAAGAGAAGTTGCCATTGATGCTGAGCGGCGGACTGAGAGGTCCATCAAAGGAAGGGCTGGTGCAATCAGTCAGGGGGCTTTCAAAGAACGGCTCCAGCGCTGCGCTGTAGGCGTGCGGTGGCGGCTTGACGTGGAAGACATGGGAGCTGTCCATGGTACCGTAGGGCGGACTGGGCAACCCCGGAGACTGGTAGGAATAGGGGTGCACTGGGAAGGAAGCGCTGGCCGTCGGCAGGTGCGGAGGCATATCCTGGTTCTGTTCTGGCAGAAAAGTCCGAGGGTTGAGCTGCAGGCAGCCTGCAACCAGGTTGGTGGTGGGCTGGGACAAGCCTTTGCAGAGAGTCTGTACGAAGGAGACCAGGTCAGGGCTTTTGCCTGAGCGCAGGATCTCCGACAGAGCCCAAATGTAGTTTTTGGCCAAGCGCAATGTCTCGATTTTGGAGAGCTTCTGCGTCTTGGAGTAGCAGGGCACCACCTTGCGCAGGTTGTCCAGAGCCGCGTTCAGTCCATGCATGCGGTTCCGCTCCCGGGCGTTGGCCTTCATGCGCCTCAATTTAAAACGCTCCAGGCGCGCCTTGGTCATCTTCTTCTTTTTGGGACCGCGTCTCTTGGGCTTTTGATCATCATCTTCCTCTTCCTCTTCTTCCTCCTCTTCCAGGTCTTCATCTTCCTCCTCCTCCTCTCCCCCGTTCCTCAGGGAGTCCTCCTCGGCATTCATGGCTTCCAGGTCGTCCTCCTTCTTGTCTGCCTCGTGTTCTTCGTCTTGAGAACTGAGACATTCATCTGTCCAGCTTGGAGGACCTTGGGGCTGAGGCTCGCCCATCAGCCCGCTCTCGCTGTAAGATTTGGTCATGTTTCAGTTTCCTATATTCAACAGGGGAGAGAGGCAAGTAGAAAGAAAAGGAGAAAAATGCCACACTCAAAAGCCAGATAAAGAAGCCTTCAGCTTCCACTCTCTAATCCTGCACAAATACAAGTGAACAGAAGTACACTCCATTACAAAATGGATGACTCTGAAGAAAAGTTAAGTGCTGTGTTTCATAATGGCTTGTGCGTGCCCCGCTGGTACGTAGAACACAGGACTGGGCATGGGTGGTGATAGTGCTGGATACATATATGTGATTATCATTCATGCATTTATGTTTTCTAATTATTTATTCAACTGTTTATGGGGATTTCTCGGCAGGATAATGTGTGTGGAAATGAGCATATATTTCAGTAACTTCATGTTTATCTGCAGGTGTCCAAAATCACTCATAACTCTACAAAAAATGGTGAGTCTGAAAATCGCACTTTCAGTTCCCATCTCTGTTCTGGCTTCTGGGTACTTAGTGGTTTAAGTTGAAGAGCGATTACATAATTTGCTAACACTGGCAGTGTTTTTAAAGAAGATTATATCGAATAGAGATTGAAGAGCAAATGCACGGAAGAGGAAAAGTAGTTTCTACAAAATTATTCCACCACTAACGAAAGATTTACAACAAACGTGGACTGGAGTCATCCCTCCCTCCCTCGCCTTTCTGTTCTCGCCTCCCATCCCTCACCCTCCGCTAAATTTCCACCTTGTACAAAAGCTCTCGCAACTAGGCGATGGCTGGGGGCGCGGCGCAGAGCGCTCTCCCACGCGCTGGGGATCAGGTGCGGAAGGCTCCTCTCTAATAAACAGCCCATTGAAAGGGCCGCCCGCTCTTTATTGGGGCTTTTCAAAGTTCGCCTCAAACCTGCCTTTAAAAGATTGAGTAATTATAATGGTCAGCGATTGTCAATGACGAAGTTGACGCTTCTGATACGGAATATAAAGAGCCTTTAGTAAAACAACTGAATTTTTGGCTCCAGCAGTGGATGATGGTGACTTGACCGCCTCTGGAGCAGTAACAGGTAGCAGTAGTGGTTTCTTTCCCTTTCTCCACTTCCCCGATTCAACTAAACTTAACTTGGACCCAGCTTTATTTTCAAGACTGTGTATACGCAAGATGCCCACATCCTTTTCATTCACTGAAAAGATAGGTTGACCCTCCCGATGTGCATAAGATATATAAGCACAAATTTTGGGAGCAGTTGCCTTTTCTTTTTCTTTTCCTTTCTTCCCCCCCCCCGCCCTTTCTTTTCTTACTAAAAGAAGTGAGCAAGTGAAATAATTATTTGTTTCTAGGACTTTAAAAAAATCACCGCCAGCAAATAATCAGTTACTGTTTAATTTTTTTAATCCACGAAACTCCTATACTATTAAAAATTTTAAATTTAATTAGAAAGCCTGCAGGGGGTACTTAAACACAGATTCATTATTAGTGAGTACTTGTGGGCAATTATAGGGAGGGATACTGGTCTCAATACACATACACACACTCTCAAATGCGCACATACACAGTATGTAGGTACATCAGGTCTTCAATTACTGTTTTATTCTCGAGGAAAAAAAAAAGGAAAAGGGGTTGTAATTACCTGTTGTTGTTAGTAGGTCCTGAGCAGTGATGATCTCATAACCCTGGGGCCTCCGGACGCCGTGTCTTCTGCGTAGGCGAATTCCTCGTGTCCCGGCTGCGCTGGTGCTCAGGTTATATAGGCGAGGTAGTGATGCTGAGAGCGGGCGGGGCCACGAGCTGAGCAGCGAGCAGGTCCTTGCGCCTGGCACTTGCGCACGCGTCCAAGCTGTACGCTCCCTGCCCCCGCCCCCACCTCCCCCCTCAGCCTCGCTCTCCTCCCGCCCTTCTCCGACAACCGCTCCCCTCACCCTCTACCCCTAACCCCCTCCCCTTCTTCTTCCTCCCCGGCATGCGCCATATGGTCTTCCCAGTCCAGCCAAGAGCCGGGAACCACGTGACCTGCCTATTTGTATGCCGCGGAGCGCTCCATTCCGGCCCCTTTGTGGCCAGAAGAAAGTGGCCCATCTGTCGCCAGTTAGAGACTCCGCGGACCTGTTTTTACCCGCAGGAGAGATTAACCCTTTCTGGCAGCAGAAGGAAGAGGGCATAGAGAGGGGAGGGATTTGAGGGAAGGGAGCGGGAAAGCTAAAGATGACCGGGTCTAGGTCAGAAAGAGAAGCCTGCGTTCGCGGGAACTAAGGCACAAGAGAAAAGGTCAGAAAGCTGGGAGACTGAGGCACGCAGTGAAGAGTCTTCGCCCTGGCACCAGCCTCCGGGGCAGCATGACTCTGCGCTCTCCGAGAAGCCCATTTCTTAGTTGCTGCCCTTTGGCCAACATTTTGCTCATTGGCACCAAAGGTTGGCTTTTCCTGATGTCCATCAGCCCCCTCCAGGCAAATGCATACTCCATATAAAAATGACTTCATTTGTAAAAGCAGCTTTGAGACTAGTTCGCTAGCCAGAACACCCCAACCTAACCCCTACAGGCATAGAAATGTTGTGCCTTCCACTTTACTCCCACTATATATGCCACTCTGTGTGCCCTGACCAGCAGCTAGCTATCCTCTCCGAAGACCCCTCTCTACTTCAGTTTCCCCTTCCACCTACTAGGATTTTGTGCTCAAAGCAAGCTAGTTCGTTCTGTTAGGTCTTGAGTTCCCTGTCATCAAGCAGTCAAGTGTGGGAATTGGGCTTCTCTGATGCTTGGATTTTACCTTTTTACAGGGGACACTAGGTCGCTGCAAAGAAGCCAGTCCTGGGGGAAGTTGTGGTTGGTAGGGAAGCAGACTTCCCATGGCTCAGCTTTATTGCCCAACACTGACCACTAGTGAGATGATAGGCACCCTATCACAGCCCAGCCAGTGCTCTTGGTATCTAATCTCTGGTCTGTAAGTAGGTACTTGGGTCAGTAGAGCTTTCTTAAAAAAAAAATTTTTTAAAAATTTAAAAAATTTTTAAAAAGTTGCAACGGGCCTATGTTAAACAGGTCTTTCCCCTCTTTCCAAAAAAGGCCATTAGAACAACCCTTGGAATGGCTCTGTAGCATCCAAGCCTCCATTTGACATGACCATCACTTCCCCTTCAAGCAAAGACTACTGGACTTCCTGATAAATTTGATTAATTCTGAAGAAGTCATGTTTGTTCCTAAACAAACAACAATTATTTAATGTTTCTGACCATGACATGTTCCAGAATGATAGTTTTTTTTTTTTTTTCTTGGAAGGGAGGAGAGAGGAAGGAAAGAAGACGGGCAAGGGAAAGGAAAGAAAAGGAAGAAAAAAGGAAGAAGAGCTCCACTAATCCGGGTTTACTCTTTCTCCCCTAGGTTCTCTTTTAATCCTCCATTAACTTCTTACTCCCTCGAAAACCTGAAGCCCTTCTCAATGAATGCATCTGACTTGAATTGCTTATTAAAGGCAATTGCCCTAAATGTCCCTCGAGTTTGCAAACAATGTCAGGGTTGAGCTGCTGAAGTGAGGTACATCTGGGAAAGGGTGAGGATGGGGGAAGAGGGTCCTAACGAGATTGCATGTGTAAGGATGGTGGGGGATTGCAACCATTCCTGTCCAGCACAAATCCAAAAGAAGAGAGCAGTTGTACGTTCTGACCAGTGGCCACAAGCATAAAATGAATCTTTCTGAGGTTCTGGAGAAGAATTGTATGGACTTTTGCTTTTCTACCTTGATTCATCAGCTGACAAAGAGCGCACAGAAAGATAAAAGAATTCACTAAGGAGCATGGAATTGGTATTTACTCTGATACCATCTGTGCCTTCAGTGCTGGGTTTAAACTCCAGGGATGTCAAGAGTGACACTTGCAAAGGCTGGTCCACAACCCGGAGGTCTGAGGAGGTTCGCTGCAGTGCCTAAGAGCTGCCACTTTCCCTATTATCTATTTTTGGGGAGCTGGAGAGGAGATGTTGTGGGAGGAGTGGGAAAGAGGATTCCAGGTGACCTGAAGGCCCAGAGATGACTTACAGACCTCCTCACCCCCAGAAGTAAAAACTTCTCCAGTTCGAGGCATTCTGTGGAATACAGGAAAATCTTAGTGGAGTCAGATATTCCTGGGCCAAGAAGAAGACCCGGGTGTTTCCCTTACAAGATTCAAATGTAAGTGCGGGAGATGCTAGACCCGTTTCTATCCTCTGCCAATGATTAAATCCACCTGGAATTCCCTCTATGCGTCCTTACACCGAGGCCTGGATTTTTGTACAAAAGAAGAGTCACTCCGGGAAGTTCCGGAGATCTGGCCGAAGTCTGGTGTTACGGTGACTCTTATTGGGCTTCCCGGCCTGCAGCCACTGCTGTGCACCAGCCTCTGCGCAGAGAATGGCTACCCAAAGCACCAGTACCATGGCATTCGGCAAGTGCTCGCAAAGCCGGGGAGACTGCCGCCCCGCGATAGGCGGGTAAGGGAGGAGCCCAAAAGAACTTGGATCAAGGTGCTTCTTGTATGGGGAAGGGGCAAGAAAGTAGAATAGAGGTGGCTAGGATGCTTAGAGAAGACTGAACCGAGGTTCCGCAGAGCTCAGCGCTGAAGATGGGTCTCCGTGGTCCCGCCACGCCTCCTAAATTTCCTTCTCTTTGGACTTGTTTGGACGGTTCCACACTTTTCACCCTCCTGATTTCCCAAGTTCTCTTCCTTTCTCCACGCTGTTGGTTAGCTGTACTCCCCCAGCTCCCGCCCTACTGGACGCTGTAGGCTGCCGAGCGGCACGCGAACCGCACGCGCAGGCAACAAAAGCCGCTTTCATGACTCACTGCCCTCGAGCAATGCCCTAAATCTGCCGCCCCCCGGGTCCCTGCACTGACCGCGCGGCGCGGGACAGGCGTCGGGGCCGTTAGAGCGGCAGCCGGAGCGCCCGCGGGAAGGGGGGCGGGAGGAGGCGTGTGGCCCGGGATGAGTTGAGGGGAGTGCGTCCTGGGTGGGGCGGAGGGGAAGGGAGGGGGTCGCGTGCAGGGATGGGAGAAGAAAGGGGACTGAGGCGTGC